CTGGGTCTTTTTTTGAAAATTGTCTGTATTCAGAGTTTGCTTTGAATCTGCATAGCTAGGGTTCGCTTTAGGTGCGCTATGATCGGTGTCAGGTCTGTGAAGACAAGGATTGATCGAATGATTGTATACTGTATAACGTCCCTCTCCAGAATATTTCACTAATATGTAGACGTCATCATTGCCGGTGAAGGGCTGCAAATTTAGGCCTTTGCTCGGCACTTACGGCCTTTGAGCAGGGAGGGATCTTTATCATGCCACGCCTGCTGTGACACGCGGCCTCGGTTTAAACGGTCTTATCCGAAGAACCGCCCCATTTAGTCGCCTTTTACGACAAGCAAGGGGGTACTGAGGACCTATTCCAACCCGGATCTCCACGGGGGTGAAGACAAGGAGACTCGTCAAGGGATTACCCTGATATCAGTGTGTATTATTTCAAAATATATTCAACGCTAATTTTCATACTTGAAAGGATATAAAGAATTAGATATGAAATGAATTGAAACTCACAGTAGATACAACGATGACCTTGGAACCCCGGTTTGCAACTCATAACACAGTTACCAGTATCAGCGTCACACTGCTCTCCCAGACAATTCTGTGGACAGGGTTGGTTACAATATGGTCCATAATATCTAGGAAAAGGACAACCTGTTTCAAAAACAGGAAAAATCAATAAATTTGATTTAAAAAAAATAACAATGACTACAGTAAGGACATTGGGTAGCGCAGTATACGACCTGTGACACAGTCTCCAGTATTAGCATCACACTGCAGCCCCTGACAATTTTGTGAACAGGGTTCGTCACAATTTTGTCCAAAATGTCCAGTAATAGGACAACCTATGTTAAAAACAAAATCGTTCACAATTTTCGAACATGGAAGAGAACACCAAATTTTGACCTTCACGTTTTATCATTTACGAATGTTACGTAAAATAAGTAATCTTTTTTCTTCTCACCATATACTTCAACTTCGCACAATTCATTGTACGCGTCCATAGAATAGTAACTAGGATAGGACAATTCCGTTTTTCGCTCGTTGTAGTAAATTACGTATCTTCCATACACAGAACAGTTGAAAGTTTGGTCTTCTATAGGTGTACCATTCACATTTTGTATATCATGGAAACAGATGGTTCCATGTTCTATTGATGTGGTGTTGGAGACGTAAAGGAAAAATCCCGCAAATCGATCGAAAAATGCACCTGGACCTGAAAAGAATTCCCTCATGAAACAAAGTTATGGTGTATTTTTTGTCAGAGGAATTAAAATTTATCAAATAACGGTTTTACTAGTTTACTAGGTTTTTGTTAGGGGAGATACAGACTTCATATTAGGTAGGCATAGTCCACTAAGTTCTTTCAAAAGACATCATTGTCAATGACCTTGTGACCTTGACAGTGACTTGGATGCTAAAAATATCTTTTTCGAACGTTGTTGCCACCGAGCGCATAGTGTTTCATAAACACATTTTTTTTCACATATCCAACAGTTGTAAGAAAAGTTCACGGACAAGTTCAATGGCAAGTGCGCTATCTGCGAATGTGTGCGTTTTAGCTCTACTGCGCGGGTATGTTATGAAGCATATACAGTAAAACACGGTTATAGCGAAGTCATGGGGACCTGTGAATTTAATTCGCTATATCCGTAATTCGTTATATCCGCATAACGAATTCGTGTAACCATTTTAGCGAATTCGCACTATCCATGTTTTCTTTCAAGTATTACTACCAACTATGTTAGTGAAGCAAATATAACTAACTTTATCTTCGATAACTAAGGTTTTCTTATGAATTGAGTTTTATATACAAATGCTAAAAGGAAATAAAGCAAGTTGAATTGATCATTTTCTTATAATCTTTGAAAGTTCGTTATAAAAGATGTAAATTTCATTATATTTAACCTCAACGGTACTCAAAATCAGTTCGTTATATCCGTAAATTCGTTATATCAGAGTTCGTTATAACCGTAAAATTTTACAAAGATTTGTTAAGAATTTTGCCGGGAACCCAGAAAAACTTCGCTATGTCCGTGAATTAGCTATAACCGTGTTCGTACTAAACGAGTTTTACTGTAAGTCATTTTTTGGAAAATTTAGACTTTTAAAAGAAAATTAAGCTTGATAATTTACCAAAACAGCTGATAAACGTAAACTAATATTATTTATTGCATAAAGATACAGAGGCCCACGGGCCTTATAGGTCACCTGAGGATCATGTAACAACTTTTGGCAATTGAATTTAAAACAGTTTTAAAACAGAGGCGGCCATGAAATTCATAATTTTGAAAGAGGCAGTATTGCTTATCATAATTATACACTTAGCATGCCTACTCTAATCACTTAATACCCAGAAGTAGATCAGAGTAACAAAGAGAAAATGCACTTCTACTTTATAACCAGTTATGCACCTCACCCCAAAGAAACCACTAACTCTGGGGCCATTTATTTCAAAATTTTCTCATAAATTTTATTTCATCATAAATGGTTGATCAATACCAAAAAGAAGATTTTAAAGTATTAATTTATTTTCGAAATGAAGTAACCCCCCCCCCCCCCCCGGCCCAAGGGCACAAAATTCACCGTATTGCTAGATGCACCTTTTTTCATCATAAATATATATAAACTTAGATAATTGGCATAATTTTTAAAATAACCTGGAAAAAGCAATGATTTTCAAAGATTTAATGAATTTTCACTATATAATCAAAAGAGCCCCCCCCCCCCCCCTAAAGCAAATGGCAGAACCCCTACTTGGGACATCAAAAAACCACAAATCTGGTTGAGGTGCAATTCTTGCTCATCATAATTATGTACTTTGTTGATTTAATACCCAAAAGCAGAGAAGAAGATTTTTAAATAATAAATGTCTTTTCACAATATAACCAATAGAGCCCAGCCTTAGCACCAGAACCCCTGACCCTGGGGCCATAAAATTCAAAATTTTGAAAGAGGCACTCTTGGTCATCATAACAATGTACTTAGTTAGTTTATTTGATACCCAGGAACATAGAAGAAGATTTTCAAAGAATTAATGCACTTTCACTATGTAATCTAAAAAGCCCCCCCCCCCCCCCCAGAACTGAACCCCTGACCCTGGGGCCTTAAAATTAACAATTTTGAAAGAAGCACTCTTGTTCATCATATTAATGTATTTAGTTAGTTTATTTAATACACAGGAACAGAGAAGAAGATTTTCAAAGAATTAACACATTTTTTACTCATATAATCAATAGAGCCCCAATCTAACACCAGAACCCCTGCCCTTGGGGCCAGGAAATTCACAATTTTGAAAGAGGCACTCTTGCTCATCATAACTATGTACTTTTTTTTGTAATCAATACCCAGGAGCAGAAAAGAAAATTTTCAAAGAATTAATGCTTTTTCACTATATAATCAATAGAGCCCCGCCCTAACACCAGAATCCCTGCCCCTGGGGCCATAAAATTCACAAATCTGAAAGAGGCACTCTTGCTCATCATAAATATGTACTTCATTTGTTTGTTTGATACCCAGGAGCAGAGAAGAAGATTTTCAAAAAATTAATGCATTTTCACTACGTAATCAATAGAGCCCCGCCCTTACACCAGAACCCCCTTACCCTGGGGCCATGAAATTCACAAATCTGAAAGAGGCACTCTTGCTCATCATAACTATGTACTTCGTTTGTTTATTTGACACCCAGGAGCAGAGAAGAAGATTTTCAAAGAATTTATGCATTTTCACTATATTATCAATAGAGCCCCACCCTAGCACTAGAACCCCTGACCCTGGGGCCATGAATTTCACAATTTTGGTAGAGGACTCAATGCACATCATAACTATGCACCAGTTAGTTTATTTAATACCCAGGAGTAAAGAAGAAGATTTTTAAAGATTGCACTAATTTTAGTGGTTTTGAGCCCCACCCTAACACAAGGCCCCAGGGACCCTGGGGCCATAAAATTCACAATTTTTGTTCCTTTCAGCCAAAGATAAGCTGAAAATGTTCAAATGTTATCACATACCCACTGAACAGACGGAAGATTTTTAAAGGTCACCTGAGTTTACTCAGGTGACCTATTTAGCCCCGACTAACGCAACGACGTACGCCCTCACCACATCAGGGACTTGAATTTCACAATTTTAGTAAAGGACTCAAAGCTAACAATCAACAAACAGTTTGACTGCTTGATGTAATTAATAATAATGTAGTTTTTAAAGATTGCATTAAAAAAAGTGCTGCTAGAATCCCACTGTCCCGTCAGTAAAATAATCATGAAATTCCACACATTTGCACAAAACCTAAGAACATTTCACTGTTTTAATTTTTACAAGTGCCAAATTTTTTGAAAGTTAAATTACGGGATTCTATAGCAATGTAAGCTGAAAATGAGGGAAGTTTTCCATCTGTACAAATCTCATGTTTTGAAATATGTAGCTTATTGTTGTTCTGGTGCATTATTTTTGTCACAAATGACAGAAGGAATAGGTCACCTGAGTGACTACGTATAAAAAAATTGTGCAAGTTAATATGGAATAGATGGAAAGGCCTAGTTGTGTTACTCTGTTTATGAGAAGGATCCCCATATATTTACATTGGAATTTCCTCTATGATTCTTTACAAAATAAAATGCAGTATATTTTTTCATGATCTGCATTATGTATGTATCACAAATAAGCATGAATATCTCTATTGTTACGTCATAATACCTCTCTTGACGTCAAAAAGTCAAAAAATATAGTGCACACTGTTTTGTTTTAAAAATGACAGTTGAATGGCGTAAATTTACGGCAATTCATCAGAAAAATAATGTAAATATAAGAAATGAGTTTAATTTTTTGAAGATTCATGAGGTATATGAACTATACAATATACGCCGGCATATTTATCATGAATGCGTGAATCATTAAATATGCCGGAATTGAATTTAGTTCAAACCTCATGAATTGTCAAAAATTAAATTCATTTCATAAAGGAATTGACGCCATATGTACATAATTTAACGTCAATGTTTACAAACATGACGTATACATTTCAGTTTAGCCATGAATCTTTACAGAAAAAGGTCAATTTCTTCGAAATTTTATGTAAATCATAGCACATGTGTGTTAGGATTAATCATTGACAATATAATGTGTAGAAAAAGATAATATTTCTTCAATGAAATATGTCGATATATTGCTCCTGAACAAACTTGCGCTCTATAAATTTTGAAGCAAAATTGCCTTTAAATTTTGCTCCTCTTTATGAAAAAAGATATAAAATCGGACTAGTTTGTGACGTGAATAGCAAAAACAAAAATTGTGAATACACTGCTTTGACACCATAATATTTTCTGTTAATTTATATTTCTCATACAATTTATTGAATTCAGCACATTTCAGGAAGTTTTCAAAATTTGACTTTTATGCAATATACTGCATATAGTTCTTTAACAGTTATAATAAAACTTAAATAGAGCATGAGCAGTGTCAATTTTAGTATACTAGATAGACTATAATGCCCAATCATATTAGCCAGTTCAATTCATTTTTTTCTGAAATTGCTACAATGTACAAGATACATGTATTGAGAGTAATTCTATGGTGAGTTAATCCACTGAGAAATATATGACTTTTCTGTTGATTGTGGAATTATTTCAGGTGACAGTAGAGTTAAGATTAACTTTCATGAAAATTAATGACATTGACACAGTGGACCAGAAATTTCAGGCTGAGATCTTTATCCAAGCTAAGTGGGAAGACCCATTACTCGCAGAAGATGACAAGGTAATGGCACAAGTTTTCCTGGGGGTCATTTTTTTCGACAAAATCAAAAAGAAATTGATATGAAAAAAGGAAGACAATAAATAGTTGAATTCTTGAGAAACACTGGTGAAATATGCGTAAATATACACAGCATGCAGGTGAGGTCTCATTAAATTTCTATCGTACACATATTCATATAGTAATTTCTGTTCAAAAGTAATTTTTTTTTGATATGGCAGGTGTTTGACCCAGTGATGATGTGGACTCCAAAGTTGATCATTATAAACGTTGACGGCTCATTCCTGGAGGAACACAATGAGTACTCTATCTCACACAGTGCTACTCACCCCCCTCATGTCAACCTCATATGGAGATTCAAAGCATTCTTCAAGGAAAACTTAGAACTGCAGCACTTTCCAATAGATGTTCAGGTGATTGTTGCATTACTATTACAAAGTAAAGTGTGCATCAGTATCTAGATATTACACTTCAGTTGAAGTACCGGTAGTATTGGCTATGGGGACTGTGGATGTATGCCTGAGAAGGTCAGTGGTTTTAGCACTTTACTATAGCACTGTGCACCAAAAATGTTTTTTCAGCACTAGTCTAGTTGGGCTTAGACAATTGTAACAAGTGGGGAAATGTGTTGGCCAGACTGGGACTTATGTTCTCGTCAAATAGCGTGACTTAATGTGATAAACCGTACTAAGATGTTTTACTATATTTTTCTGAAGATCATTCTTGTTTGCAGCTAATTTTGGTAAGATATTTTTTTTTAATTTCTAAATAATCAAAAAGATTTTTTTTTTACAAATAAGTAAATATTTTTCAAAGCTTACATAAATGTTTAGTCGGCAAATGTACATGCACGTCACGCAATGATTTTCGGGGTTTTGTTTAACCGTGTTTATCTCTATAGCTTACTTTTAATTAATTTTAAAAGTAAAACAATAATTTGCAATGTCGTTTTTCGTGTTTTAGAGATTCATAAACATTTGAAGTAACAAAATAAGTTTATTTTTTTTCCCAACCATATCCCCCATTCTACATATAATAAAATCCAATTCAATCAAATTTTACGGTCGATCTACTACTATCTTCTGAAAGAACCCAAAAAAACCGTTTTCGTATGTCGGAGAATTATCTAGATAATTATTTTTTATCTAAAATAATAAAAAAAATCTTACATGTATTTAGTACCAGAAATACCCATTTCCGTTTTTTTCTTCAAAGTCGATAATATAATATATTAATATATTATTCTTTGAATTCAAAATCAATATAAAGCCTTATTTCGTTTTGAAAATATCGATTCCTAAATAATTTGAACTTTTTTGCGTGAAGAATCGTGCGTTTGCGTTAGCAATCGTGTAAGATCGTGTAGCGTGTAGAATCGTGAACGTGAAGGATCGTTCGTGTATCAGGTTTAATCGTGCGTTAATCGTGCGAAATCGTGCGTGTAACCTGATCGTTCGTGTAAGTTGTCAACAATAACGTTCCAGCCACTGTATTTAGTACATGACTATATCTACTGCATGTATGCATATTTTGGACAAAATCGTTCGAGTGGTTTTTGGACAGGAACTTCCGAAAGTTACCCCCCTTTAGTTGTTTACAAGGAGAGAAAATTTTTAATCAATGAACTACTTAAACCTAGATTTTCAATAAAACCAGGTTAGATATAAATGTCAAATTTCATTGGCTTATTCCTTTGACCATTTAACACAAAAACATAGTCATCTTTTTGATATACATATCATCAAAACAATTTTTAAAGACCTTAAAGTGAAAAACTATGAATTTTCTAAGCCTTGAAAATTGGGCATTTTTCAGATTCAAAATTTTTTTGTGAAAAAACCTGTCGTTTAATTTTGGTAAAAAAAACTTTCTTTAGGTAGCTGGTAGTAAAAATAATCTTCATAATTTTTTGTATAATTTTTGTACGACCAGTTTTGATTTAATAGCGGAAAATTACCCCCTCCCCCTTTCTCAATAAATCACGTTCCCGCGCATCTTTCAGACGGGGGTCGATCACTTTGTTATATGAATCTACAAATACACATTAAAAAAATAAATTGGAATATTGTTTTTGCTTCAAAAATATATTAACTTACAAATTTAAAAGTTCTCATATGTAAAGCGTATTTAAATGTAGATTTTTAGGCAATTTTTGAATACCCCTATCACCCCCACCCCTTCCTTTTTTGCGTCGCAGACCATTAGCGTTTGACGAAACGTCGTTTACAGTGCAAATATACTGGTATTTCGTCAAGAATCCCGGAGGTATGCATTAGTTTTTAAATTCATGAATGCAGAATAAATATTGACTAGTACTGTTTTTATATGCACAGTGTATCAGGAAAAAATTACTGAAAGATTTTAGTGTTTAGTCCATAAATGTATGCGTTATGCATTCCATATCACAAGAAACCTGGATACGAATTCAAGTTTTGTTGAACTTGAATATGTTGATTTTTAATTTTATTTCTTTAATTTTATTCATTATAAAAATGGTGTATGTTCAACTCTCCTGTGATATAAATGGAATAATGTAGTTTCTTTCATGTCATTATTTCAAACGAGACAGTATGTGGCCGTGGGGATACATCGACATTTGTATTAGATGTACATACACCCCTCATGATATTGTACACATTTCTTTCAATGTCGTCGCTTCTAAAGTTAAAATGAAAATTCCGTATTTGTTCACATTAACTTCAAAATATCAAACATTAAACTCTTCATCTATTTCAATTCATTTCAAATCCCATATTGATATTTTTTAAAAATCTTATAGGCTACGTTTTGTTTTGATTCGAGGAAATGCGAACCGACATTGTTGACAGAAAGTCAAAGTTACGATACGCGATTTGCTGCGATAGGGTATTCATAAATGCAGATAATTTCAATGCAAGTGAACAATTCTTTTCAATTCTATACTTACATTGTGTATATGAGGTCTATAGTATTCAATTCTCGGATTTATCAGGTCTTGCTGTAAATGTATCTGATTCTGAAAATAAACATCTCCTACATTTTCAGAGTTGTTCCTCTTTGATCAGTAAGGGTCTGAGAACAACATCGATTTTACATTGTAAAAAGTTTATTGTTTATTTATTGTTGTTTTATTTAATTAAAGAGGAAAAACAATATTTATATCGTGTATGCACAAATTGTAATGAAGTCGAAGACCATTCATCGGAATGTTATATAGCCAGTTGTACATAGTGAGAATTTTAGCAATGTAAAATAAAATTTTCAGAATAAAAAAAATGCTGCGCTTTGATCAAAAATACAATTTGTTGTATACATATGAAATGAAATGAAATAAACATTAAGGGATGGTATTAATATTTTATGTCTTGCTTTTTACGGAGTTTAATCGGGTTAATTAAAAAAATACTTATTGATTGAGTATGGTACGCACAATCACAGCCAAGCCCCATATCCCAATTTTCTTTCATGATTGATATCGGGATCGTTTTACTCGTCGTTTTGACGCTTTATTTTTGACATTAAACTTGACGTCACGTCAAACGTTCAATTGAAATCGCAAGAGTTATCTCCCAGAGTGTGTTGTACGTCTTTAAGGCATTAAGTAAAGTTCTTCCAACACCACTAAGCAAACACTTCTAAAAATCACAGCAATTCTCTATGAAAACCATTAAACATAGGTAATCAGAGATTACAGAGCTCACCTCAACGAATGTTGTCTTTAAGTAAGGCAAAGTCACACAATTAACCAACAAAAAGTATACATTCCAAAAATGAAAATATTTTTAAAAGCAATTTTGATCTGATACTTTGAAATAGACCTACATAAAAAATTTAAACTACTTCTTCTTCATGAAAATGTAATGAAAATCCAGCATCTGAAGCAAATTTGAGAGTTTTCATCTCTTGATGCAGCATTTGTGCAAGTTTGGTTTATACAATGTTATATAAGCCTTATAGTTTTTGGTAATAGACCTGCAACCATAACTTTTACCTTGTCTATTATCTGAAAAATGTATGTCCAATTCAGCATCCGAAGCAAGTCCATTAGTGTGCATCCTTAGATGTATCATCCATGCAAGTTTGCTCATTATAGGGCTCATAGTTTATTGGAAATGAAACATGCATCAAAACTAACATTTTCACTCATCCACAAAAAGTAGGTCAGATTCAGCATCCGAAGCAAGCCTGGAAGTATGCATCCTTAGATGTATCATCTATGCAAGATTGGTCATTAAAGAACTCATAGTTCCTTGGAAATGAAACCTGCACCAAAAACTTTTAACTAATCACTCAACCGGAAAATGTAGGTCAGATTCAGCATCCGAAGCAAGCCTGGTAGTGTGCATCCTTAGATGTATCATCCATGCAAGTTTGGTCAACATAGGGCTTAAAGTTACTTGCAAATGAAACCTGCACCAACAACATTAACCTGTTCGCTCAACTGGAAAATGTAGGTCAGATTTAGCATCCGAAGCAAGCCCGGTAGTATGCATCCTTAGATGTATCATCCATGCAAGTTTGGTCAACATAGGGCTTATAGTTACTTTGACATGAAACCTGCACCAAAAACTTTAACCTGTTCACTCAACTGGAAAATGTAGGTCAGATTCAGCATCCGAAGCAAGCCCGGTAGTATGCATCCTTAGATGTATCATCCATGCAAGTTTGGTCAACTTAGGGCTTATAGTTACTTGGAAATGAAACCTGCACCAAAATTTTAACCTGTTCACTCAACCGGAAAATGTAGGTCAGATTCAGCATCCGAAGCAAGCCCGGTAGTATGCATCCTTAGATGTATTCATCCATGCAAGTTTGGTCAACATAGGGCTTATAGTTACTTGGAAATGAAACCTGCACCAAAAACTTTAACCTGTTCACTCAACCGGAAAATGTAGGTCAGATTCAGCATCCGAAGCAAGCCCGGTAGTATGCATCCTTAGATGTATCATCCATGCAAGTTTGGTCAACATAGGGCTTATAGTTACTTGGAAATGAAACCTACACCAAAAACTTTAACCTGTTCACTCAACCGGAAAATGTAGGTCAGATTCAGCATCCGAAGCAAGCACGGTAGTATGCATCCTTAGATGTATCATCCATGCAAGTTTGGTCAACATAGGGCTTATAGTTACTTGGAAATGAAACCCACACCAAAAACTGCACCAAAAATGTTAACCTGCTCCAAAAACATTAACCTGGTAATTCCTTTGCTGAAATTGCAGCATCTGAAACTTTGTCTGGTACAATAAAACACACTAAAACCATCTTCCATGCATGTCTAATCAGTATAGGACACAGAAGTAATTAAAAAGAAAACTGCTCCAAAAAACTTAACCTTAACCTGGGACGCCGACGCCGACGCCGAGGGTATCACATAAGCTCCCCCCAACTTCGTTGAGGTGAGCTAAAAATAATGACTGAAAATTTTTAAAAAATGATAAATAAAATGTAACGGATTAAATGTGCATGTTGGTATCAAACTTAAATTAATTGAGACTTTAAACAGACTTGACTCTGTTACATTACTGAAGCTAAATGCATCACCGTTATCTAAATCTCATTTTTAATGACAGGTTCTCTTTCACCATTGAGCCCTTAAAATAATTTTTGTCTTTGAACACCATACATATTTCTCACATTATTTTTTTTATAAAGAAACAAAAACAAGCCAGGGCAGATGGTATAAAAGATCACAGACAAATATACAGGATTGGGTCATTTAGGTTGTCAATATCTTCCTCCACCAAGCATGCACCACAGATCATAAAACTCTGCTAGTTCCAGATTTACACATCATATAAATCATGTCAATCAGTATTACAACAATGACCGTCACATTCAATGGGTTTTCTACACAAAAGCCTTTTACAACATATAGAAGACAAACACAGTACAATGTTTTTCAACAGAAGCAAAGTCAGAGTTTTGTTTCCTTCAACCTTCATTTCATTGCTTAATGTAATTAATTGTTAAAATGGAACAGATATAAAAAATTTTGTTAACATTAAATGAACCCAAATTGTTGGTCCCTGGCATTTTGTTTTAAGTGTGTTTCACTGTAGTTCTCTTTGTTTTCTCTAACAACATTGATTAAAAAAAATCTGAATCCTTTCTCAGCTTTGTTACAAAAGAGAGAAGAGAAACAACATTAGGCCATGCAAAATTAATTACTTGGTTCTCAGGCCTTTTTTCAAGAAATATGATGAGGGAGGGAGGCATTTTTTTTTCTTTTTTATTGCCCCCAAAACATGATGAGGCAGCTTTTTACATTGTACAAAACCTCAAAAAATGATGAGGGAGGTGATTTGGTGTTTATATTTTATTGATTTAGCAATAAAAAGGGTCAATGAGGCACCCTTGGAAGAGATGAGGGAGGGCCTGAGAACCAAGAAAATAATTTTTTTTTGCCTTATCTGACTTGCTTCATCTCATTTGATACTGGTCTTTGAATAAATCTGAACACATTAACACTGGTCCAAACTTTTGTCTTTATGTTCAGAAGCGACATGTACACATAATTTGAGGCATAATATTGGATTTCCATTTTTTAATAAAAGCTAAATATGTAATTTTTTGCTTTGATGTTAAATTTCTTAAATATTTTATTTTTAACATATCAAAGCATGTAAAACATCTTTCCAATATACTGTTACTTGGTAGACACTGACAAGAAATAAAGCTGGTCAGAAGAGACCTTCTACTAACCTTGTACTCGAAGTTTGAGATGCAGAAGTACAGGACATCCAGTATCTGAGCGAGTACGTTCACATTGAGCTCATTCCACCACTGACGGAGGACTGTCTCGTCTGCGTTCTTTATCACCCACAGGAAACAGATCAATAAATTACGAGTGCACTCAGTCGTCAGGGGACTCTTTTTGCTCTGTTGAATTACAAAGGTGAGATCAAAACCTTAGCGAAACTTAACATAATCAATTCAGATAAGGTAAAAAAGAAAAAAAATTAATAAATTTATATTACCTTGTAAGTAATTGACAAGTGTTCAGAACATTTACCCTATTCTTTTTATAAAATTTCTTCACAACCAAATTCTCACAATTAAATCTGTACTCAATAAGATTTATGAACTAAGTATCACTAGTTAGCCCTCAACCTTTGGTTCATCCAGGCCACCAGGATATTCCTGAACTCTCCCAGCAAACACAGATGCCCCAGCTATCTCCAGGGCCACACTGTGACTGATCTTATCTGCCTCCTCTTCCTCTGGGCAGGTGTGTCTCCGAAGGTCAAGACCGGGGTCACTCAGCTGGGGGAGGGCCTCGATCACAATCCCGATAATCGGCATGTACAGCGCCGCCAGCCGAGCCTTCATCTCCACATCCATGTAACGAAGGTCAAGGTCATGGTTGTACAGTAAATTACGAACAACATTGATGGCTCTCTGATGTATATTTGGATTACTATGGAGAAATATTAACAAAAGCTCTTTAGACATTCAAGCATTTGTGATGTATTTTGTGAGTACATTTCTAAGCTCAATTCAGGACAAAGAAATACAGTCAAACTTGTTTTAAGAGGCCACCTTTGGGAAGTCCGGAAACTGGCCACTTAAGACAGGTGGCCTCTTATTCCAGTTTGTCCTCAAACAGGACAATCGGTCAATAAATAAACAACATTAAGCACTACAGTTAAATTGATTAATCATAATTAAACAGGTCAATTTCACAAAGGCTTTTTATGTGTATATATAATAATTCAAGCTTATTTAAAAAGAATATTAAAGAATTCCAAATGTTTAGGTTTTGTGCATGTTTCTATTCCTACATAATAATTAAAAATCTTGCATTCATCAGTGTGCTTTTGTTACATTAAAATATAAAATTCTTTTAATTTTCATTTGAAGAAATACATACAGTGCCTGACTATTATCCTTTTTTATAAAGAAAAAATACACAAAAATACAGTTTAATGGTAAATAAAATAAAGCAAAGAAATTAAAAATACATGTATGTTCACTTTCATGAGTTAAAAAAAATGGTCAGCAGTATAACACCCCCCCCCCCAAATTAATTAATCGGTAATTAATTTACTTGCTGATGTTTTTAAAGTCTGATTAATCTTATTGTTTATAAAGCTTTATAAAAGAATTTCTATGTAACATACACAGACACACAAATGAAATTAAGCAGTTGACCAGAGAGATGTATTTAGGCAGTTGAAAATCATTCCATAACACAGGTGTCAAGTGCAGCAGAGCGTAACTAATCCCTATTGATCGTCTCTTGATAGTGAAATTCACGAGATAATCATGGCATATGAAGCACTTTGTTTTCACAAGAGTAGCAATTAGGGCTTCTACATGGATTCAAAATCTAAAAGGTGTGAATTTCTTTAGCTAGAGAAAAGTATCAATTGTAATTTAATTCTTTTAATTTCTCAATCGGCGATCTTGAAAAATAATTACAAATTGATCTAACAGGACAAATATTTTATTTTCATAAACACAAACAGAGTTCAGCGTAACTAAAAGCAATTTGTTTAATTGCATTAATAGGTTAAATTGACTAGCGAGGATATAATTATTCAAGCCAATGCGTTTAAAAGATGTGATAGGATCGCAACAAGTGACGAAATGGCCGCCTATTACAGTGTCAATAAGGCTGTTGGGGGAGGATTTGAGTGGCCGCTGGCCGCGTTACACAGGTGGCCGTTTATTCCAGTTAAAATATATAGGAAAAATCTTCGGGGGGAACTGAAAGTGGCCGCTGACCGCAAGTGGCCGTTGATTTCGGGTGGCCGCTAAGACAAGTTTGACTGTATACTGAAAGTGTTGATTTTCTTTTTTTTATTCACTATTCTTGAATGTAAAAGATTTATAAATATTCATGGAAAATTTCTTACATAATTACACAATTGTCATTATCTTTCTATGCAACACAAGACAGCATGTAATTAAACATCAGTAAATAATGATAAAGACTCACTGTGTATCCAGGGCCACCTTGAGATCAGACAGAATAAGGCCCACCAGGAAGTGTTGCTGTCTGAACTGTAGTGTGAGCTCGTAGAATTGTCCACGATCCGTTAGTGTCGACGTGGACGTGTAGGACGACATTGAATTCGTGCTCTGGATACTGGGGGTGGGGCTGGCAGCTTTACCAGAGGTGGGAGTCAGAGGGGTCCCAAACGGGAGATTCAGAGGAAAGTAATGCTCATGGCTGCAGACAATCCGTAGAAAGTCCAGTCTATGTAACATCAGAGTGGTGGAGTCCGATAAAGTCTGGATCTTCTCTGCTATCTGTTAATACACAAGTGAAAACAATACATGACAGGTATAGGACAAGGTATGAAAAAGGGTCTTCAGTAACATCTGACTAAGTCTGAGAATTAGTTATTTTCTGGCTTTTAATTCTACCTTTTTCTTAATTTGAAACAAAGCATATAAAAAAAATCAACATAATAGACAGAATTATACTGACCGCCCCACAGTAATTGGCGATGAGATTGAAGACAAAACCTCGATCCATGAAGCTCAGAAGGTCATGTAAGAAGAAGGCCAGACTGGTGTTAAGACTCCGAATTATCTGTGGCTCCTGAGGATGAGAACATTTAAATATTAAATACAGGGAGTCTTAATAAAACACTGACCATTACAAAAATTACATATTTGTTATATGTATAAAGCAAATAATAGCTGTACACAGAGAAATAATTTAAATATCTATACAGATAAACATTTCACTTGAACCCCAGAAATTTTATCCTTATTGTGCTTGTCTGTCATTTCTTAACCTTGTTGACATATAAACTTTTACCTTGATGTACTTGTCAGTGATTTGACCTATGAACTTTTACCTTGATGTACTTGTCAGTGATTTCCTTGTTGACTAGGTTCATTAAGGCCTCAATATCCTCCACAAAAGGTTTATCATTGAACCTCATCTGACGAGGAACATCCAGCTTCTGGGTTTTGTTAAGATGTTCAGCCATACTTTTTATCTGCAAAAGTGATACTTCATGTGAAAACAGAAAATACCTTTTATGTTGTCTTGAAATGATAAATATCTACTGAAAAAGATTTTTTTCTATGTATGACTATGATATTAATTTTTTTTTCTTTTTGACTGGATACTGATTATCATCATGATGATTATAAAGAGCAATGTTCACACACAGGACTCTCTAGTGAGAACATAAATCAGAAGACTTGCAATAAGTTCAAACAAGAACTTAAAATGAGTTCAAACTAGACTTACAATGAGTTCACACAAGAACTTACAATGAGTTCAAACAAGAACTTAAAATGAGTTCAAACTAGACTTACAATGAGTTCAGACAAGAACTTACAATGAGTTAAAACATTAACTTACAATGAGTTCAAACATTAACTTTAGGGCTGTCACGGGTACCCGAAATGACCCGGAACCGCGGAACAATTAATTCGGGTCGGGTACGGTTCCGTTTTTCCGGAATTCGGTTCAGTTCCGATTTGTATAATAGAGTAGATTTTACTATAAAAATGGCGTCAAAAACGAGACATTTGTTAATACATTGCTATTATAAGGTGATTTAAATAATTTGGTACAATTGTTGTCTAGTCAGGAGGCTACTTTAAACTAGTTATAATGTTGCTATTTCTAAGATTAAATGAAAATATTCTTTTTATTGTTGAAAATAATACAAATCATGAGCTTTTCTTCCATTACCTACCCGACCCGGAAAACCCGAAACCGAACCTTAAAAAATCAGAACCGACCCGACCAGAAAAATTTTGGAACCGTGACAGCCCTAATTAACTTACAATGAGTTCAAACATTAACTTACAATGAGTTCAAACTAGACTTACAATGAGTTCAGACAAGAACTTACCATGAGTTCAAACTAGACTTACAATGAATTCAGATAAGAACTTACAATGAGTTCAAACAAGAACTTGCAATGAGTTCAAACAAGACTTACAATGAGTTCAAACAAAACTTACAATGAGTTCAATCAAGACTTACAGTGAGTTCAGACAAGAACTTACAATGAGTTCAAACAAGAACCAGGAGTGGGCGAATGCATGGTCTCTGTTCTGTCCACTGAGAACCAACCACTGTAGAACAAGCTCCTCATGGACAAGCTGTAAATAACAAAGGTCACATGACATAAATGTCACATTCCAAAGGTCACATGACATACATGTGACATTCCACAAGTCACATGACAAACATATGACATTCTTTAAGTACAAGAAAGTTTCATCCATATTAAAATTATCTTCGTTTTATGTCATGTAAATTCCACTGAACATACTTTAAAATTTTAATACATTACCATTTTCTCAAATTGTTTATCACTTTGTGTACTCAACAAAATGAAGGAAGTATTTTTTTTTTAATTAATGAAATCCACCTGACCTTCTTGGCCCTGTTTTTCATCATCTGTGGTTGGTTGAATTCATCTGCTCTCATGCTTCCTGTCCTGTCTAAGAACTTGGTGCCTCCTTAAAGGTCAACCAAAAAGAATTATTCTTTTGCTATAATGATTCCTACTGCGGTGGAATATAATTATATATTATTAAGAATACTCTCGTTTTTATGTAACTTCTTCAACCCTACAGTCTAATTACATATGATATCTGACATCTTGTTGTGTATAGGTACATACCCAGAATGGCTGATATCTCGTTGTCTGGTGAAGTGGGGGTGAGTGCGTTTAGATCAGGGTTACTAGTGCTCCTCTGGAAGGATTTATTTGAGACAGGAAGTGAAGACGGACGACCGAGTGTGTTGTATCCAGATCCCAGGGATGGCTCTGTAGCTGTAAAGATGCAAATAATCATGAGAAATGTTTTACTTTACACAAGCAATGCAATGACACACTGTTTTAGACAATGTTATTGTACATTAGGCCATGCAAAATTAATTACTTGGTTCTCAGGCCTTTTTTCAAGAAATATGATGAGGGAGGGAGGCATTTTTTTTTCTTTTTTATTGCCCCCAAAACATGATGAGGCAGCTTTTTACATTGTACAAAACCTCAAAAAATGATGAGGGAGGTGATTTGGTGTTTATATTTTATTGATTTAGCAATAAAAAGGGTCAATGAGGCACCCTTGGAAGAGATGAGGGAGGGCCTGAGAACCAAGAAAATAATTTTTTTTTGCCTTAATGATATTGTGTTTTGTAGGCTATCTGTAATGATGTAGTATTTGGAGACATACTGCAGTGACATAGTGAGCTGGATATAAACATGTGCAAAGGTTGTTGAACATTTTAAAAATTCAAAGACAATGTTTATACCTTTGTCAACATTTAACATAAATGTATATGTACAAATTTTGTATGGATTTCATACTGAATATCTTAATTTTGTCTCCAAAATTCATAGTAATAATATACATGTATTATGACAATATCAGTGAGATATTATTTTAGAAACTTGCAGTTTATATGTCGTGTTTAAGAAACTTACAACAGTGATGTAGTGGTCCAGTTTAAATACTTACAACAGTGATGAAGTGGTCCAGTTTAGATACTTACAACAGTGATGGAGTGGTCCGGGGTGGGGCAGACTACAGGAGAAGTGGACATAGCTAGCCAGGGTCAGGTTACGGCCATTGCGGTCATTCTTCTCAGAGAGTAACTCATGAACTCTCTTCACGACCAAAATAACCCCCTCAAAAGCTGGCTGTCCAATGTTAGCTACAAATAGACTCAACATTTTATTTTAATTCAATATACCATACCAATACTAAAGCTTGTTTTTTCTCCACAATATGCTGATACATGTAATAGGTCTATCACTGGAGCCCATTTTATAGTATTACACCAATTACTGTAGACGTTCTTTTTTCCACGGGGTCATACTTCCGCGGAATCTCAATTTCTGTTTAATCCATGGACAGAAAATTACGCAGATTTTCTAGAAAGTCACTATATGCCTTACATTTATATTTATTTAGCTTGGACAAATTTCTGCAGAAAATTTGTGACCGCATACATAGCGTAAATTAATACCTGAGGAAAAATGTACTTCTACAGTACCTTGATGCCCCCTAATATAGGTTGTGAGTATTCTTATAAATCAGATGCTATACAGTGTTACTTCGTAGTTCATACCTTGCTGCCCGCCTAGTATAGGTTGTGAATATTCTATACAGTGTTACCTGCTTTGTAATACACTGTTACCTTGCTGCCCGCCCAGTATGGGGGGTCTGACCATGAGGTACAGCAGTCTGTCCAGTATGAGGGGGAGGAATTGGATCAGATTCTATACAGTGTTACCTAGTAATTCATACCTTGCTGGCCGCCCAGTATAGGGGGTCTGACCATGAGGTACAACAGTCTGTCCAGTATCAGGGGGAGGAATTGGATCAGATTCTCCCCGCGGGCCTTGGGAACCTCCTGTATGCTCTGTCTCAGATCATTCTCAAACGAAGACTCTGTTTTTCTGGGAGGCAGTTTCTGTTCCAGGGTCATACGACAATTATACAGGAACTTTTCTAACTTGTCATCCTAGTGGTAATGTATTCCAAATGTTAATATACACCATACAAATTATGAGCTACTAAATAACACAAGAGATCAGATAAAAGGATTTATCCCTTACTTAGGCCAGATAAAATTAATCTTTAGATTCTCATCCCCGCCCGCCCCTCTCAAAATGTCCCGCTCCAGTGTGTTTTATTTCGATTGTTGGATGTTAATAAAACTATTTACATGTACAATGTATTTTTATTCAGCAAGAATTTAGGTCAAAGTTTAAGAGTTATCTCCTGTCTGTATTAAAAGTCGCTTGTCGCTATTTATAGCAAAAGAGCCATGTGAAGAATGGAGAAAAATCGGCAATAAAATCAGTTTAAATATTGAAGGAAGAGATAATTTGTCAGTGTAGAGAAGACAGAGAAGAATAAAGAATAAATAGCATAAACACGTCAAGATACCGTAACCACCACTGGCATGAGCAATTTTTGAATGAGATTTTAACTAACTAAAATATACACAAGGAAAATGACACCTGGTCAACTTTGAAGAAAAAAAAAAACATCGTTGGCAGACTTTTGAGAATGTTAAGTGCTAAGGAAATGTTAAATCTTAAAACTGTTCAGACCTAGGTTTTTCATTAGAATATTTCATTGGATTTTGCAAATATGATCTATTTTAATGTCGAATATGTCAAGTTTCAAGAACAATCAAATTTTTAAGCAAGGTCGAAATCTATAATATTTTACCCAAAACAGAGGGATTTGTTGGTAAAAACTACCGGGTAAAAGGTATTTGGGGAAAGGCCAATGAGAAGTCATGGATACACAATCTATTGGTATCCCCACTGGGTGTGCCGTATTATGTGTACTTGATAATTTGTTAATTAACTATGAATTTTTATTTTTTTTTTTAAAGCAAGCATTTTTTTTTTAAATATTAAAAAGAATATGAAAAGAATTAAATCTATTCACATTTGCATTAACATAATGAAAAAAAGAAATGTGTACGAGACGTCCATGTTTTGTTGATACTTATAATTTAACAATTATAAAAAATAAATAATAAAATCCGCCCACCCGCCCCGATTTTTTAGCAAATTAGGATGAGAATCTAAAGATTAATTTTATGTGGCCTTAAGCATGCTAACACTTTTACAGATACAGATATATAAACATCTTTTGGTCTGTGCCTCTTACCTGTGTGTGTACAGATGATACTGATCTCAGACTAACGTTAAACACCCCTTTGTGATCCACCCATTTCATATTTGGCAAGGTTGTCTATAAAGGAAATGTAAATTACTGTAAATACAGAGCATGATAGGGGTGGTGAACTTTTTCTTCAAGAAAATCAAGCCATAATACTCAGCCATTCAGATGAACACATGCTTTTATAAACTTAATTGAAACCAACACTTAATTCTTTATTCAAAATATGAATACGCTGTCTTATTTTTGAGCTGATGAAATGCACCAAAGGCAGCACTTTATAAGAATACAAATATGAAGCAAAAAGTAATTGCATATGTCCAAAAAGCTACTTATTTTTATTAAATGTTAATAAGTTTCTCTGAATATTCAAATGGTTTCAATACATGAATTGGTACAATTGTTATTGTAATTTAAAAAAGAATCTTTATGATTGATATACAGCATAAAGGGGGTCAATAGAATTCAGTACTATTTAATCATTAAGTATCTTGTTCCCCATTAAATGCTATGATTCACCTTTTCCTATTGATAAGATTTGGCAACATTCCATATCATTTTGACAATTAACAACTTTTTAAATACATTGTAGTAATCAAACTACAAGGAAATCATAAGCTTTAAGAACAATCATGTTTTATACCACTAGGAAATATTACTAAGCTATTTTATTGATTGTAAAAACCTAACAGTTAAGTTGTAGTCAAACACATC